TGAGAACCAACCACTGTACGTCAGTTCCGCAATTGCCAAACTGACAGTATGGCGCAGCGCTTTTCAGAAACTTGGCTACGAAATGGAACATAAAACAGCAGAGTAAAAAATCAATTACGCAAAGGTCCAAGTAGGACAACCTTTTAATCTATTTGTCCAATATTCTTCCAATTTAGCAAAGAAGATATGTCTACACCAAATTCCCGGCCAAGTTGTCCTCTTGGGCAACAGAAATAATCTGAGAGGGCATTCAACATGAGTCTACTCAATTAATTTGTTCCATGCGTAGGAGCTGAAGCGTCCCATCTGCACCCCTATGACTTAGTGCGTCTGTCCAATTGGCTGAAGATGACGGGTTATACACGTACACCTACACACCTGCACAAGTGACTGGCGTATGCACGGAACAAATTAATTGAGTAGACTCATGTTGAATGCCCCCTCAGATTATTTCTGTTGCCCAAGAGGACAACTTGGCCGGGAAATGGTATAATATCAGGCCGCAACCATTGCGGCGGCAATGCACCCAAGTTCCACTGAGGCATGGGACATGAGGATTCAGTCTGAAGGAGGAATTGCAGACAGTGCAACCAAGTGCTTACTTCTTTCTGTTGCGACATAGTAAGTCCTCAGGAAAATACACCATTCGGGTTTTCGCTTCGAGTTTATGTAACCACGCTGACTTGAATGAGAATGCCGCTGTATAGTAGTAATTCGCTTAGCAACGTAAATTGGGAAGCGTCCGTTAAAATTACGAAGTAGCCCTGTCGGTGCATTTCCAGTATTTTTCCTGTTTTTGTGAAATATTTACTGATCGGCCTGTAAAGAGAAACTGGAATTCTTTTTAAACCCTTTGTACCCGATAATCCGGAAAAATTCCCGTTTTCTGAGACCAATAAGAAATGAGAACCAAAAGCACACCACTCATTTTGCTATTGTACTTGACGAAAGACCATCGAGTAAAAATAAAGGGTCCTAAGTCAGCGCCAATTCCTTTTTGATGCTGGCCGATGTGTGCGATGTCCTGAGTGCTTCTCCGACGCACCAATCCTAAAGGTGACTTGTTGCCCCTTGGGAGTAACTAACATTGGCTAGTAGATAGGAGTCTGGCAAACACCCAAATCCGGTTGTAACTAGTGTGACACCCACCTGCATGAAAATGATTTATATTGCGGAATGTTATCAGGTCCCCCTCTGTGTCCATGATTTTGTGTGGGTTTAGTAGAGTTGATACTATACAAAACGACGCATGAGTATGACGATCTCTGAACAGTACAGCGATCTATAGACCGCTGCCAGGTCGACAGGCGAAAAGTGTCATATTAATGTCTTTTAAATTTCTGCCTGTTCCTGTTGTACTCACTGAACTTAATTATTCTACCAACTTGCGTATAACTTAACGTAAGGAAGGATGATAGCATTAAAACTGACTTTTTTGGTCCGCATCCACCGTACTATTACGCCCAAATGCTTTTACATCAGGTTAAAAGGGACAGATTTTTGGTTGCATTCAGCCTTCATACAACAACCACGTTGCAAAAATGCAAGAACTGGCATGCATATGCATGAGCCGCGCCAAGCATATCTCTATAGCGGTTGTACATATCCTGAAGCCCAGATGCAGCAACCACAGGTTGTGCTGGTATGGAAAGAGCTCAGACTACCAAGACCGAACCTTCATTGACAAGTTGGATTGTCACGCATAGTCAAGTAAATAATGTGCTTTTATGCAACATGATGGGTAAATTTTCAGCCGTGGTACATGTGAAGCCTGTCTGACAAGGCCGAGATCGTAGTAGACATTTACAGTTGCTATCCATAATTCCGAAGCAGTATGGCATCATGAGCCAAATATGACATTGTCTAGTGCTTGTGTAGCGGGGCTGGATCTGCGCCCCGTGCTTTCAAAACCGCCATTGAATGCTCTATTCTGTTCTACATGCTTCCTCGGAAAGGTGTCCCAGTAGAACTTGTGAGCACTACACTACACCCCCAAGGTCGTGTCGCTGTCTGCGATGGACCGTTGACTATTGTCCACCTAGTAAGGAGTGGCCATCAGTTGTTACTTTCCCCAAATCTATTATAATTCATCCTAGACCGTACTCCTTGGCTGTAACACAAAACTCAATCGCGAAGTGGTACAAAGAACTTTGAGTGGCTACATTCGTTGGAATGCGATACACCATCAAAGGACAAGACTTTCAAACTACTTAATCCTCAAGACTGAGGAGCCGGTGACAGCCAGTCGATTGTCTTAATATCTGCATTAGCACTAACGGGTATGTGATTGCCGAAATTATTTCACATACTGCGGAACAGATCCGCCCTGTTTTTAAAACAAGTGTACACGATAGAAGCCATTCTGCAACAAAACCAGTAGGCCAGGAAGTGATGGGCACCACATTCTTTTTGTATCTCTCATTGGTACGGCCACGGTAACTCTATGGCAACAAGGTACTGGTATAAATTATGAGTACCGTCGACGAAGATGACAGCGCGGCTGATAACACGTTAAAATCGATCGCGATAACCATAACAAGCCAAAATACAACAACGATAATTTAGGTTGGTGACGATAAATGTCAATTGTACTATACGGGAGCATGTAACGAACGCCGTCAGCCATCAAGAAACCGGACGAGTGTGTGAGTAACTCAGTTCTGCAATTCATGGAAAAGAAATGTAAGTAGCGATGGCGTGCGAAGATGATATTGGAGAACAATTGGACAGCGATCTATAACGCACAGGAGTAAAACGAAGGCCTGTAATGAGCCAGATGACCTCAGTGAGTTGGAGACTGGCGGCTACCCGCAAAATGGGATTCAATCAAAAATAAAGAGAGTGAGAAAAATCAACAGTACCCCACAAAATCGGATAGAAGGGAGGGGCGGGGAAGCATGAACAATTGAGCTGCAGCTCGCTGACTCGCGATTGAAACGAATCCAAATGTTGATAGACATTATGTCAGTGACACAAGGGCAAAAAAGTTAAATAAGTTGGAAAAGTATGTACAATGAGGGAGAAAAGAAGGATTTGAATACACATATAACAGGGACAGTATGAAAAGTTGCGAAAGAAAATCAAAGAGTGCATAAGAAAGACAAGGTAGGCCAGAGATAATAAGCAAGTTCTTGTCCAGAGACAGAAAGGAATTCACAAAGGACAAGAGGAAATCACAGGCACGCGAAGACAACAACCTGAAGAGTGGAAGAATGAGCAAAGGGATCCAGAGGATCTCTAAAACACGAAACAGACGGAAGGACGCAAAGGAATTTTAGTTAATCCAACGGAAAAAGTAATAGGTACAAACGCACCGAAAGACGGAGGTGAAAATGAGGAAAAAGCAAACGCACCGAATAGGGAAGTTGAGTACATACAGCAGAAAAGCTCGATGAATGAAAAAGGCAGGTGATTTGTGATGACGAGGCCGGGAAGACACTCACGGGAGCAGCAACAACAGAAGCTGGAAAAAACGAAAACGTTAAACAAACGTGATAAAAAAGAGAAGGCAAACAGCCAAGGCAAGATTAGTGCTTCTTATGGAGCGCAAAAAGGGGATCTAGAACGAGCAATGTAAAAACTAACAAAACTTAGGGACCTAGGAGCAAAATAGGAACATCAAGGATGCAACAAGGCCTCGGATAGGCATGAGCGAAGGGCGCCATAATGATTCACAGAAATGGCAGCCGAACCGGTACAAAAATATAAAGGTTTGTATGGGAAGGAATGGAGGATATGAGCCACAATTGCGCTAATGGCTCATAAATGCAAAAATCGGGTAAGCGACGGTGGTCTTCACAGCAGTGTTCAAAATCTACTGCTGTAAGGAAAAATATTGGCGGGGGCGAGTGCTAGCTCATATGTCCGCGTCGAAAAAGATAAAGGACGATGGCATGAGGTAGCCAGAGAAAGGTGAAACCGGCAACTATTAAACGAGGATCAGATAATGCAGGCGCGTCAGTGTGAACAAAAAGTAACAGAAGCGAAATATGCTTGGTGCCACATTTTACCGAAAGTCAATGGCACAGAATCAGTCCAGAAAGTAGAATGAGCTACAAGTACGACGAACTTTAAACGATGATTAAAAATCGAATGCGCCGGGACGATTAAGAAGCGTTGCATCAGCATTGTTATCCAGGGCAGCGTCGAACTCGAAAGCCGCTTGATCATTTGTCATCAAATTATTCTCCTGACACCGGTCATCTCCGGTTGTACCGGCGGTGGTATTGGCTTCATCATTCATCTGAAAATAGTGGAATGTATGGTTAAGGAAAAGCCCTCAAATCCTAAGTGATTTTCAACTAAAGCACATTTGGGTAGCAAGCAAAATGACAATAAAAACGAGCGCATAATTTAAACAAAAAAACAAGAATATTAAAACGACCACTTTGTATGTGCAGCAAAATAGTTCATTTGCTAACAATGAACGTAGAGTAAAAAAGCGATGCGAGAAATTGCCCTATCTCACGTTGCAATGACGACAGTGAATAATGATGAGAACCAACACCAAAGAGAGTTGACGGAATAATTGTGCATAACGAAAAGCATAGTAATAAATGCTGTGTGGATGAGTACAGGAGGATCACCGGATAAATGACTGAGCTTAATTCAAATGATAGTGGATACAATACTCTGATCCCATTAGTAAAAAGCAGTGTGAATATACATACTTGACAGTTTTAAATTAGGCAAACAAGAACGGAAAATTGTTAGACGGAGATATCAAAAGCAATGGAAAAATGAGCTTAAATGATATTGTGACCGAGCTGTGCCCAAGGATTGACACATCCCGAGCCTCCTCTCAATCACGAACACACGAGGCCCCAAACAGAAAACGCCCGTCGCTATACTATACAATGTCATCAATTGGTCGTCGCAGGGTTCCATGCAAGTAGGCACAGCAGCGGAAAACGATACGCGCTGGGGTTATTGGTCTACAGATATGTAAACAGTGACAGCCCAGTGCCACAGTCGACGATCTGTCACCAAATGCAATACCGTCTACGTCCTGCAGGTAATACGTTGTAGGAATCAGTGGTCAAACACAGCCAACCCCTTGGTTTTATTGTGTTTGCGTGTACACGTAATGATAGTGGTCAAATTATGAGTGCAAAGGCGATAGAAACACCCATGTAATGAACCGACTGCTTTGATTGGCTGTTGAGTGGTAGTAAGAAACATTGATGTGGCTTTTTGTCTTGCAAGCGCTCCTTATGTTCAAGAGATGCGGGCCGGATCGGGCCCGCATGTGGTATGTTGGTGACCTCTGTTCTATACAAAACTGATGTGTCACACTGTCCATGCATGGGACCCTGCGTTGATAACGGTGTCCTCGGCTGTTACAGGGTTGCCGCAGTGGGGAAATGATTCAAGTGTAGTATTCGATGGGTAATAACAAGGTCAATTCTTACGGGTAGGATAGTGTGTCGAGTCCGAGCCTGTCACAATGTTTTTCATACGGAAGCTTTCGTAAACGGTACTATTCTATACGTTCTCAATTTGCTGCACCGTTCCCCAAATGTTTGCATCGGTCACATTTGAAGCTGCATCGCGTGCGTCATGTGACACGTGTGCACTTGTATGAGCTATACTCATTGACGGTAGTCACCGTAGCAGTGCAATCGGTGGAAAGGCGATCACCTCGCGAACATTGAATGAATATGGCTTATACGAGTGCCCAGGTGCAAGGTGTCACATGACGCACGCGATGTAGCTTCAAGCGTGACCGATGCAAACATTTGGGGAACGATGCAACGTATTGAGAAAAGGTGTAGTTGCGATGTGCGGTATTTTCCCCAGTTGTTCAGATTCCCACTGGGTTATCGGATGGTAAGCTGGGGCGCCGTATCCAAGGATTGCTCCGATGAGCGATGTGAATAAGCGACGGACGGTTTCTTCGGACCATGTGGAGAAACTGCGTCGTAATGCCCAGAGCATACGAAGTCCCACATGGTACAATTTCTGTTTTCTAGTGATCTCATATCATGTCGCGAGAGCACTCCTAAGTCTGACAGATGTATGATCAAGTGGCTGCACATCTGGTGATACTGATGAACGAATTGCTTGCGTTAAGAGGGGTTTGCATTTCAGTGGACCACGTTGACAACCAATCTAAGTCAACCTAGAGGGGAGCGCAATCGTCTCGGTTCTCAATGATCCTCCATGTTTTCAAATCATCTGCAAACAGGGCACATGATGACTGGATCGGTTTTGGGAGATCATTGACACGAATAAGAAATAATGCTGGCCCAACTACAGTTCCATGAGGCACGTCACTGGTCGATGGGAACCAATCTGTCAGGTAGTCATTGACCTGTACTCTAAACCTCCGTCCCACAATAAACTCGTAACCACAGAAGTAGCGTGTCACTGATCCCGTATTTCCTCCGTTTATGAATTACCTAGTGGTTCACTCTGTCAAAGGCCTTACTAAAGTCGATGTACACCACATCAACATCCTTCCGTTCGTTGAGAGCTCTTACCCAATGGTGGTTTGCGTACATCAAGTTGGTGATGCAGGATCGTCCTTCCGTGAAGCCGTGTTGCGCTGGCGTCAATGCGTCCATCGATTCGAAGAACGACAGCAGATACTTTTTCCTAACCCCGAGAACTTTGGACAATATCGAAATCAAACAGATCGGTCTATAGTTCACTACTTTATTCGGATCACCACTCTTGGGAAGCGGTTTCACTATCGAGCATTTCAAGTCGTTGGGGACAGATCTTTCAGGGAGTGATTTATTGAATAGGTTTGTCATGGCCGGTGAGATGATATTCGATATGGACTTAAATATTATAGGGTGAAGTCCGTCTAGTCCGGGGACGTTGCACCATCGAGGATGACGAGTAGCTGATACCTTCGAATGTATCACATTGTAGGCTGTCGAGCAAGATCGGCGCAACCTGTGCCGGTACTAGAACAGCCGCCAGTTTACTAGAAAATACGGTGGGGAATTGCGAAGCCAAGGCGTCCGCGTGAACCGAGCTGGGAATGAACGTCTGTCCGTCTAAGCTCACTTACATCGGTAGGTCGCCCGCAGGTTTCAGTTGACGTGTTAAGTAGGCAAATATTCTCTTGATGGCGGTTGTGGCCGAGGCTGCTAGCTCCTCTCCAAACTGCCGGCGTTTCTTGATCTTTGCGGCGTTACATATGTTATGCTGTTTCTTGCACACCGCGTAATCTTCATTAAAACCCGAGATGATGTAACTATACCAAAGTTTGCTACGCCGTCGCATTAACTGTTTATATTCCTTATCAAACCAATGCGATTTGATAGGTCCGATTTTTGAATACTTCAGGGAAACGAAACGGGTACGCAGCAAGTTAAGCTTCCCCTTTAATAATGACGAACAGGTCTCAAGCAACGCATCCCGTGACTTGCGATTTGGACGAGCCTGTTGAAGTCCGTCTTCCAGTAGTTGAATGTCGGCTTCCATTGCTTGTAATAGGGTAACGGAAGTTTCATGATTGCAAGGATGGAGCAGTGGTCACTGTTCGCTAGAAGTCTGAGAAATCTGGCCTCTTTCAGATTCTGCTCGCATCTCGTATACATTAGGTCCAAACAAGACGCCGAGTGCGGAGTTATGCGTGTTATGTTGCGTTGCCCCGATTTCATTAACCATTTTAGCGAATGGAGCCTCAACGTCGCCATAACCGTGAAAGAAGCCGAACGTCTGGCCAGAATATGTTAGGTAAATTTAGATCCCCCATCAGTAAGAAGAAAAGGAGGTATTGTCGACGTGGTCAAGAGAGCAGATAATACTCTCGGACTGCCCATTCCGAGGGGGATTTTGTTCGAGGTGCCTTTGACAACAGTCTGATCCACAAGGCAGTGGAGAGCAAGTCCAGCTCGGGAGTGTGATTGCAGAGACCCAATAGGATTTTAAAGCTTGTCACACACAACCTTTGAAGATTTGGAACAATGCACTTATGTTTTACGACCGTATTACGTTACGTACCTGCGACAAAGGCCGACCGCAGGTGGGAGTTGCCAGGTATGCACCAATTTGACGAGGTGCTGTCTGGCCTGAGGCGGGTGGTAGCAAACTATTAAACACCCGAAGGTGCTCTTCCACCGTCAGAGACAATGCGTGGCGCTCGTGCTCTACATCAATCGAGCAGTGAGCTTATAACCGGTAGATCTGCTGTCGCCCATGGTTAGGGTTTAAAGGTAGAGGGTCATCGACCTATCCCCAGCCTCCTGTTAGTTTGGCCCCTAACCACTGACCTGTCCGGTATGAATGGCTCTGAAGGCCTTTAGAAAGTGCCACGCTGGCTTGTCGAACAACCTTTTCGTGATACCAGCTGGGTGGTTCGGGAGTATCCCGTTCCAGCGAATGGTTCGGCGGCATTCCAGGACGTGGTGGATTATCGCCTGGCAAGTGTTTTCCATATAAAAAGTTACATATGTCCGTCTAACAACACTGTGACGTGGCGGATGTGACTCACCACTAAATAAAGTCACTGCCCCTTGTCTCTCTGCTCCCATGCGGTCCTAAAGGTGTATGAAGCACTTGTTTGGTCAGCGGCTCCCAACAAGCCGTATCGCCCTGCTGCCTTGTAGGTTAGATCCTGGATCAAAGGCCCCTAAGACAACCCTCTACTTCGGCCTGGGTAACCGAGTAGTATCGCGCCCACTGACAAATCATGGATGGATCATCCCCTACGCATCCCCAATAATAAACATCAAAATACTCAAACTGCGAGTGGAAAATGGACAAAAAATAGTTTCTTTTCGTCCTTCATTTAATCTAACCCTGTTTTCCTATTCCGCCTAGGTTTCGACGGCACAATATCTGTACACAGATTGTGATATATATATGTATATATATATATATATATATATATATATATATATATATTTGAAGGAGTGTGGGCCGGCTCGGTTGATGAAACGTGGCTCCCATTCACATGCCTCCCGGTCTTATTCCTTCGGGATTACACTGGATATGGGGTGTGGTTGGAGCTTCAGGTGGTGCAGCGCAAGCCACCCATGGTCCCTCTGTACGCGCAGGCGTCCTGTGGCTGACCACAGTGACAGGCAAATCAGAAACCGGGTGCCGCCAACTATATCACGGGAGTACGCAAACCATCGCACCACGCTGAGGTCCAGCCTCGTTGCAATGGCCTAAGTCGTTGACTGTGGTAAGCACAGGCGTAGTACTCCTTTGCGGTAGAAGCCTGAAAGTAAATATGCCAGGACATCACATCACTCACGAAAGCGACACATTCGCATTTTCGCCACCAGGATGGTAACTGAGAGAAAGTTCCTTCAATACCTTCTCGGGAAAAATGGAAAATAAATTTGCAGAAAAAAAGTCAAGCAGCTTAAAGAATGGGTTGGTGGCCGGATTTACTAAAAAAATAAGACCGAGTTGACGAAAGAAGGCCTCACATAAAAGTAGAGCAACTTCGAAGTATTGAAGATACTGAGTAGCAGATTTGGAGTAAATGAAGTGCGAAAAATTCACAGATGGAAAGAAAGTGCTTGGTATTAAATTAATAAACAGACAGCCCAAAAAATATCAAAGTGCAGCACAAAACCACCTACCCCATCATTGAAAAAGCGTTCGATGATGTCGAAGGCCAAGCGATATATATCCACATTTTGATGTTCTTGCAGAGCCTCAATGCGATCTAAGCCGCCGCATTCTTCGATTTCCGCCGTAACTTGATCTCGATTCTCCACCGCTGCAGATAGTATATTTGAGATACCGTCCAACACAACCTGAACAACTTGTGTATCACGCGCACCCAGCATTTTGCATAGCGGAGGAATAACATGTTGATCAATCACATAGCGAACCTAAAATGGAAAGAAATGTGAAAGATCAAGGCTGTGCATGACAGGTCCATCAACGTTCGGTGCTTATCCGAGTGATTCACTAGGTCGGTTTACGAGACTACTCTTCGTAAAGATAAACCAAAAGGCCAGAGTTGTCCCAGTTCAGCGAAGTTCGATAATTCAGTTAAGTTGAACGACTATGATCCGATCACCGAAGTGCGGTGGATCCAGTTGCCACAACTCACATCGTAAGAATAGCGATAAATAACAACGGCAAGACAGTGGGGTTGGATGCAAATAGAATGTAGAGATGGAAGCAAGAAGGAAATGTGTTAAACTAATCGGAATGGAACCAACATTACCAACCAGATGCAAGGAACCGAATGCAGGAACACCACTGACTACGCAACTGCGCCACGTCAGATACGGTCGCTAACCATTGGTGTGGACTATTACCAGGCCCCCATCCAGGAAAGCGGCAAGCAACAGCCTGACCAAGTCTCTCAGTCAATTTCTTCCTGCTACTATGCCATGTCATGGACTGGTCACCTCGCGGTTTTACCCAACTTGATGCAGCCACGGCGTAAAATGCACGCCCAGGAAGCCGGTCAACGAGCATACGTAGGACATGGCCCAGCTAACGTGGGCGATTAAGATTCAGCACACTCGAGTGACGCACCAGAAAGCCTTTTGCCGAAAATCAACGGAGTTTGAGACTGACCTCGCGATGGCGCCATAAGTGTCTCAGTCTGATGAACGCAAGGCGGGCCTATGCGATCTATTGTGAAACCTCATCTCCAATACGGCCGCAAGCTGTGATGCAACTCCCTAGATAAGTGAAGCAATGGACTTGGGCTAGGACGTCACCAGCAATGGTGAGGGCAGGCGCAGGCATCTGCCAATCCTGAATCATCATCATCATTATACACGTCAGCTAGAGGTGGGAAACACCTCAGTTACTGTGCCGCAATACATAAAGGAAAATAAATACAACAGTTGCATGCCAGCTGAGCTACCAGCAATGAATAGGCATTGTTCCGGTAAGCTACCAGCCAGCTACTAGGCAAAAAGAAGAAAAAAATGTTTTACCCTACGAAATGAGATCGTAGGTAGACGGGGAGTCTAAAAGGGATGGGGAAGGACAAAGAAACTCACAGCAGGAACGCCACTGAGGTCGGCTCCTTGCCATGTCAGCAAGTGTATCCAGGCAAACGTGTTCATCGTCTTTTGGACCCCAACCAGGGAGCCTTGACGCTCCAACCGAGGCCAGCTTCGAAGTGAGGGCCTTCATTCCTCTGGACCAAGTCAACACTTGGCCACCCCCTCTTCTTCCATCCACATCCCCGGTGAGCAAATAACGCAAGTCGTGGAAGCCGGTGGGCTGGCATGCGCAATTCGTGGCCCAGCCATCGGAGCCTAGTGCGTGAAATGACGGTACTGAGCGGTTCAGTTCCTTTTCCTGTGCCGTAAACAAGGCGTCGAACACGCTCGTTACTCACGCAGTGTTCCCACAGGTGTAAGCCAAACTGCGAAGGCACCGATGGTCGAACGTAACTAGCCTCTTCATGTCCGCCGATCTTAGGGGTCAGGTTTCACAACCGTACAGTAAGGTCGAATGTACCGCTGTATTGTACACTCTACCCTTCAGGGCAAGAGTGATGTCGCACCGCCGCCATAGGTGGCGAAGGTTAGGAAAAGCACTTCGAGCTTTTGCTATACGGTTCGCGATCTCGTCTTCGATCCCAAGAGCGCTGATACAACTTCCCAGGTAGTTGAATTTCCGAACGACTTCTAGCTGATCCCCACCAAAAGGTCAGCGCAGGAGGCGATCCCTGCGAATCTTGGAGGAACGCTTTGCATTTCGATGGTGCAAAGCAAAGCCCAAAGCGGCTGACAGCCAGTGCTAATCTGTCCAGCGCGGCTTGGCATGTCTGGGAGCTGTCACAGATGAGGGCAACATCGTCAGCATATTCCAAGTCAAGAAGTCGTTCTCCTGGGAATAGCTCCGCACCTTCTAAGTCATGTCCTGTAAATGCAATCTCCATGACTTCGTCAAAAGCGAAGTTGAAGAGGAAAGGTGGCAGCGGGTATCCTTGTCTCACACCGCTGGAGATATTGAAGGGTGGCGACAGCTTGTCGTAAGCCCTCACTCTGCCCGTGTTACGCGCATATAATGCTTGGATAATATTTACATATTTCTCGGGCACACCTTCCCTGAGTAAACAATTCCAAAGGGCACATCGATCAACCGAATCGAAGGCACCTTTGATGTCGAGGAACACGACTACGGTGGGCCTCCAATATGCGTGACGATGCTCCAACAACTGATGCAAGGTGAAGATGTAGTCGATGCAGTCACGACCTCGACGAAACCCGGCTTGCTCCTCACGAATCTGGCTTTCACGAGCGCCAGTCAGTCTGTGACTAATGACAGAGGCAAGCAATTTGGAGGCGATGGAGATCAGACTGATTCCTCTATGGTTGCCGCATGCCGATCGTGGGCCTCTACTGAATATCGGAACAATAACGGAGCGGCTCCAGTCGGTTGGGACAGTCTCCTGCCCCCACAATTTCATTAGTAACTCGTATAAATCATCAACAAGAGTAGAGCCTCCGAATTTGAAGAGGATTGAAGGAAGATCATCTGGTCCCGCGGCTTTGTTCAACTTCAACAGTCCGATCACCCGTTCGACTTCTGAGTGAGAGGGTGGATCCAAAGGGACAGCCCACGGAGCAGAGCGATCACTGGCCGGCGAAGAATCGAACAATTCTAGCCGATTAAATTGCTTTTCAAAATGCTCAGGCCAACGCTCCGAACGTTTTGACAAACTGTGGATAGACTGTCCACTCTCGTCACCTAGTTTCACTAACACCAGGTCACCTGCTGCCCGTTTCCCGCCTCAGACGGAATAACTTACGATCGTTACCAAGGGCAGCGGCCACTTCCATCTCTGACGCACGATGAGACCACCAAGATTCACGGTCTCTCTTCAGGCTGGCACGAAGTCTTGCCCGGAGCTCTTTGCGAGTTTCATTGTGTTCGCTTCCAGCCGGGATATGCCGGGGAGCATCAATAAGTTCCAGAGACTGCGAAGAGACCCAATATCCATGTTGGCTGTTAGATTTACGACATGAGAATTTGCCTGTTGCTAGTAAGGTCTGGCGAACATGTGACCAGTGACCATCAATTGTCGCCTGTGAGCGCTTGCTCAACTCGCATGTCAGCGTACTTTGATAGGTATTCAGAACAGCTGGCTTTGTCAGTTGGCTGGTGACAATGTGTTCACACCATCGTCGTGGGCGTCCGCCAAAACGCATCCGCATGTCAGCACATACAAGTGCATGATCGATGTCCACACATGTGCTCCAAATCGAACGACAGTTCTGGATGCAGCCTCTCCAGCGGTAACTGTTAGCAATGTGATCGATCTGAGTCTAAGGTTGGTTCGAAGCTGGTGGGCGCCAAATCACCCTCCGGCGGGTGCTGTGTCGGAAGTTAGTGCTCGCAAGAAATGAGCGGGCATCTTCACACAAATGAAGTAACCGTTCACCGTTATCATTACGGGAGCCAATACCATGTTGGCCGCCCAGATGCAGCCCATTTGTGGACAACTTTCCAACTTATGCGTTCAAATCTCCCGCCAGCAAAACAGTGTCCGTGTTTCTTCTGTGGCGAAGGAGCTGGGTCAGTTGACGGTAGAAGTCGTTCTTTACCGAATCATCGCTACAGTTTGTCGGTGCATAGGCAGCGATAACGAATAGACACCTGTTAGTCCCGCGCGACTTCGAAGTTTTGAACGAGCCAGCCAATCGGACCGCACACATCCGGCTACTGATTGGAATCCAATCAACCTGAGCAGCTTCAGCCCTGGGACTCAGGGCAATGGCAACATCAGCTTGGCCGGTGCTCGAAGCTGCATCGTCACCGGAAAGGGACAATGAGAAAATACTGCTTGCGTCACCTGAAGGGGATCGCAGGGTGAGCACAGAGCTCGAGTCTTGCAGGCGGGTCTCCGATAAGCAGCAGATATCGATCGAGAGGGTCTCTAATGTTCGGGCAAGTGCTGCCTGTTGACTGATCTGTAGTAATGTGCGTACATTAAGGCATGTCAATCTGAAGGAGGATCGAGGGCTCCAAATGGTAGCCGATGAACTGGAATGGACCGCTTGGTAGGACATCTGCTTGTCGACAGGAGAGGAGTGGCGCTCCGCGCTAGCATGCGAGTTGAAATTAGAAGATAAGTGCCTAGTAAAACATGTTGGGGGAGGGCCAAGAATCCGGGGTTGAAAACTGGGGGGATAAAAGTGAAGTTGGAACGGGACGGTAAGAGTGAATAAGCGTAAGAGGGGGAATAAGAAGACGGAAAGGCTTGTGCAGTAGCATCCAAACCCCTGTCCACCCTGCTCGATGCAGCAGATAGGGCACCGTTGATTATCCTCTGCGGTGGCCAGAGCATCAAGAAATTGTTTGACGAATGATTCATAGTATTACGTGGGCAGGATACTGTCAGGTTGCCCAAGCCTAGACAGGAGAACGATTAGGGTTCTCAACCAAAGCCTATGGTTCAAAAACCTTACCGCAAGACAGCGGGTTTGGCGTTGGGCAACAAGGAGTCCATTTTAAGGAATAAGGTGCCATCCTCATTTCAACCCCCAACCTGGAGGACCAGGAGGCTGAGTTTGTCTGGCCTCTAACCTTTGACCAATCTGGTATGAGTGACTCTGAA